CCAATCATAGTTTGATTATATATTCCTGTAATCAAAGTTCATTTATTATTCATCTTTTTGATTCCTGCCCATTGTATTTAATTAAAGACAGGACAATACTTTTGATACATAAGCTGGTAGTAAATTTGTTTTAATTCAGACGGTAATACATGCTTAAATACTATCAGACGTACATTAAATTGAAAATGTTGTCTTAGATTGGTTGATTGAATGATTAAAAGCGCTCAGCTTCTACCACTGTATTATTATTGAAAATTGTTCCGCAAACTTGTCTGTGAGGCTATAATTTTCATTCGACCGGGGTGGTTTGGGCATGTGCTGCGAATCCATAGCCATCACTTACCTCGACGTCCAATGATAACGAGTAGGAGTAGGTTGGAATAAAGTTAGGGGTGCCCAGATCCTAAGACATAATATCAGTCCGTGAAGCTATTGGCTGTTGTAGTGAAACATGCTAGTAGATGCAGAATACATTGTTGGGGTCCCCTCAGTTTTCGTAACCGATGGCTAGAGACATTGAGTGACGCCCAGAATCTGTTGCACCGATGCAGTTGGATCCACTCTCTATCTTCCTCCAGGTCTTGGGTTTCAAAGTTATCTTGTACTTCATATTATACTAATTCATTCTTTATCAATCATACTGTTTTATTTTTATTTTATTTATTTTAACACATAGACATTGGTACAGAGAGGCACCAAATACATATGCGCCACACAAATCCCATTCGATATGTGTGAGGGCTGTGATACTGCCCGGGTGCCCAAACCGAAGCAGGTGGTTTTCTTAAGGGGCCACTTCCCGAGCCTTCGACTTGAAGTTCTGATCCACAAGGCAGTGGAGCATCGTAAGGAGATGCAGTCCCATGGTAGCCGGTGACCAACAATTGGTTCATACGCCATTTGTTCCTTCAGGATATTGGAGCCCATGTGCACCATTGATTTGGAATCCGGTTAAAGCTCCGGACATCCGCTTTTCGTCCTCTCATTTTCGTAAACAACACCCCCGCCACAAGAATGCAGTGAGTAGGACTTCCCTTTCAGAGGCTATATACGCGTGGCCAATCATACTGTCTACTACTTCGGTATTTATCTTTGCAGCTTCATCTCGTTGTCAGGTTGACTGGTTGATTTCATTCTGTGTTAATATGATGTGGAAACTTGAACGAATACACATGTGTCAGATTATTTATGAAAGATTAGTTGTGAATGCATTGAATACTTCTTTCTATCTTGTTCCACCTTTTCCCCTAACAGACGAACGTATCAGTTTCGAATCATTCGTTCCAATTTATCATGGTTTATTAAAAGAACAAGTGGAAGTGGATCAAGAAACGTTTATTGAGTCGTTTCGTGTATTTGATAAAGAAGATAATGGATTAATTAGTGCAGCTGAATTAAGACATCTACTAACAGCACTAGGTGAAAAACTACGAGATGATGAAGTGGATGTATTATTATCTGGTTTAGAAAATAGTCAAGGTCTTGTACCATATGAAGGTAAATGGTTTTTTATAAAAAAAAATACAAGATTATTATACTAGTCTCGTGTATTACCTTTTCTGGTACCCAATTGTTTGCACTTGTTTTCGATCTAAAAATGCATAGATGAGAGATACTATTATTGAGTGAACTCAACTTGGTGGTGCTGACGATGAGTCGGGACAATTGTCTGTTGTTATATATCACTGCCTTATTTACCGATGACTACTCAGGATTGTTGTGTAAATGTTTTCTTAAACCTGGCTTAAGTTGTTACTATTCATCGTTCTTTCGACCTTACCGGGATAAATTTTCGAGCAGCTGGAGTCTCTAAAATCCAATGGTTTTTCCTTGTATTTTGGTTTCAGGTGCGGATGCATGGTCAGACTAAAAAGCGTTACTTGAAAAGAAACAACAGTCCTGTACCCACCAGTACCCCACTGTTGCTAGAGGCGGTCAAAAAACTGTATTTTGTCAGCATCTTTGTTAAAGAGAACTATACCATCTGCATATTCTAAGTCAACAAGTGAATCACTAACTCTGCACATAAATAATGTGACTCGTGGTTGAATAAACAGAACTGTGTATGGTATAGATGGGTTACAAAAACCAGCCCACTGAACGAGTTCTAGTACTATCGCATATACCAAAATTTGAACAACTACATAAGATAATTAAATGGTCAAATAACTTACTATGTAAACTCATGATTTATGGTTACTAGTAGTTAACTATTATTTCGACGAAACTTTCAGAATATGAGTGTACTGACATGGAGCTGTATTTTAATCAATAATTGATACATATTGCATTTTCATCTATTAAATACACTCTTCGCTCAGTGTATTAGTGGAATAAGTTTAGATTTATTTTTTAAACATGGCACCATATTACGTTACTTGACTGAAGCTACTTAGTAATTGAAACTTGATTTCTAAGCTCTTCCCGTCTTATTATCATTCGTTTTCCCCCCTTGATGATTGGCTAAAACTGGTTAAATTCTTAAGGTCATCCAACTATGTGATAGCTTTACCTATATATCTCATTGAAGGTACGTAAAACAATATATATATCCTTTTTTATCTTTATTTTCTTTCAACAGCTTTTGTACAACGTGTTATGAGTTAAGAACAACCTTCATTCTGAACCCGTAAATCATTAAAGTACCCTATTAAACAGGTTGATTTTTGATAAGTTGCGAAATAAATTATCATCTTTCTTCATTATTTTACAACGTCAAGCAAGTTCTATAAACGAGCTTATTTATGTTAAATATATATATATATATATATATATATACTTTGTTTTGTAACACGACCAGGACTTTGTATTTGAAGTGAAAGAGAAAAATATTTGTTTGAACCGCACAACTTTTTGATGTATGTTTCACCTTCCCACTCTCCAGTACAGTAAAACAATGTGAAGTTTTCAATTTAATATGTGCACTTTCCAAACGAAGGATTTTTTTCCTGAACCATTAAGAAATTTCCAGGAATCAATCATAGACATTCCTGGATTTCTAGTAAGAATTCGTGACCACCGAAATTCAACCATGTGAGACAGTTATCTACTTCAGGGATTAGAAAATGGCGGCTTATCATCCTGGATTGATTGGGGTTAGACATGTACACTGTTGGGTCCTGAATCTGTTCTGGGGGTTGAGCGTTCGCATGCGAGACTGAAGGTCCTGATTTCTATTCCCTTTAACGAGGTCATAGATGTGCACTACTGAGAAGTCCTATATTAAGACGAAACAGCTGTCTAGCACCTGATTTTCAATTTTATTCTAGCTTAGGCCAGTTCGTGGTGTAAATTATGTACATCTTTAAAAGGTCAAATCTATTGTTGTCGCTGAAATTCGGTGAACTAGTTGAATTTATTCCCCGTAAACAGAACCGCTTCTGGATAACCACGTCACACTTTGTTTGTGTCATTAGTCAATATTGTTGTGTGCAGTACTTCCTTTCGAACTGTTGACTTTGGTGATCTAGTCGCGATTTCTCTGAAATGTTTTAAATCCTATTTAATGTCATTCATTGCTGTTGTAACTTGGGATGGATTATTTATTCTATTTAACCAAACAAGAAATATTGTTGTTATCTGACCAAAAGGTAAATTTGGATACATTAAACTAAACAGTATTCGAGATAGATAAATTAGTCACTTAATACATATATGGGACTTACGAAATCAATACACTAAGCGCTTTTTCTAAATCATGAATTACAACTAAATTGCTGAGTGGCGTATTTCGCTTATTTGCTACATAATTTTATCGTTTTTTTGTGTAAACATTTGTTTCCTTGTGAAAATTATACTCGTACGAGGTAGATCACTTGATTGATGGATAAAGTACTGTAGTAATAGTTAAACTATGCTAAACTGATAATGTATTAACGGTACTAATATGGTTCTGAAACCCCTACTAATCAATAGTTTTCGTAAGACACTTAACCAACTCCCAGATGAATAATTATACATTCAACAATTACAGCTATTATTTGTGTTTGTAAAAACTCGAATCAAAATAAGGTATGATGAAAAGAACAGTTACAATAGCAGTGAATAATTATTCACTATCAAGTGTTCGATGTGTAAATGATAGTCTTTTGTCGGTTATGTTGATCCATGGTTGCTCAGCATATAAATGAAGCAGCAAGTACTTAGAGACTGAAGTAGTCTGTTTTCAACCAGTAATTCCCAGGCATGTTATCTGTAATCTTCATTTAATTAACTTATTACTCGTAACGAAATATATATAAACCCGAGTATGCTACAGATTTTTTATCACATGTGTCGTGAAACGATTGAGTAAGTAGTGTTGAGGTTGGTCATAAGGCAGGTGCTAGGCAAACCGGTTGGTGAGTTAGTAAATCTTTAATAATCGAGGTGGTTGGGACATGTCTCAAGTACACATAACCATCGCCTACTTCAACAAACGATGTTTGCCGGCGTTTTTATTTTATTTCAACACATAAATATTGGTACAAGGGGGCACCAAATATATATTCGCCACACAATAACAATGAGAATGGGAAGAGAAAAAAAGGAAGGTAAGGAGCGTAAAAGAAAAAAAGAGCAATAACAACCAGATTAGTGTAATAATGGGGGAGACGGAAAGGTACAATCAGAAGAAATCTTTCAGTTAAGGAAGATACAATCACTTTTTATGAAGAAAGTAAAAGAAGGTTACAGCAGGATCGCCACTGGCTTCTATTCTGAACCATATCTGATAACGTCTCTAGTCACTGTGTTGCACCATCTCTCGGACCCCAGCCAGGGAGTCGTGAAGGGCCAACAGACGCCAGCTCCTTGCGACTTTTTTTTATACCTCGACAGTACGTCATACACTGACCACCTCTGCGCTTTTCCCAACCAGTCCCATCGTCGGCAAATGATGCACGACGTGGAATTCGCTGGAACGACATTCGTAGAACATGTCCAAGCCACCGAAGTCAATGTTTCAAGATGGTGACACCAATTGGATTATCTTCTCGGTGCCCGAACACACGATGCTGAACCTCTGCATTACTGACATGGTGTTTCCACTAGATGTCAGCAATCCTTCGGAGACAACGGTGATCAAACACAGAGAGTCGTCTAACATCCTGAACTCGGAGAGGCCAGGTTTCACAAGCATAGAGCAAAACTGCTCTCACCAACGCGCTGTGGATCCGGCCTTTTACATCCAGACTGACATCACGAAGACGCCAAAGATGGCCCAGATTGGCATAAGCCGCTCTAGCTTTCACTATACGCGTATTGATCTCATCACTCACGCCACCACCAGCGCTTATGCAGCTACCCAGATACACGAACTTCTCGACTACTTCTATCTGCTCACCATCCAGGGTGAGTGCAGGATTCGGACCCTGCCAGTCTTGTAGAAGTACTTTGCACTTCGATGGTGCGAAGCACATACCATACCTACGAACACTGATTGCCAACTAATTAAGTGCGGATTGCACGGCCTGGGTATTATCACACAGTAAAAAAATATCGGCATACTCAAGGTCGAGAAGTCTTTCTCCAGTCAACATATCCACACCCCCATTACTTACATCCATCAGAGTTGTTTTCACAATGTCATCGATGGCAAGGTTAAAGAGGGATAGTGAGATTGGGCAACCCTCTCTAACCCCACTGCTTGAATGGAACAATGGAGAGAGGTGGTTGTATGCCCTCACTTTACCTGAGGTGTTTGTATATAGGGCCTTTAGGATGTTAATAAACTTCTCAGGCACACCCTTTTTCAACAGACAGTCATAGAGAACAGTCCTGTCCAACTAATTGAAGACAGCCCTGATGTCAAGAAACATTATGATTGTTGGCCTGTGGTAAGTATGACGGTGTTCTAACATCTGGCGGAGGGCGAAGATACGATCAATACATCCTCAACCGGAACGAAGACCAGTCTGCTCTTCGCGAGTCAATCTTTCTCGAGTTTTGAACAACCTACGAATTATGACGGAAGCCAATAGCCTGGACGCAATCGGAAGTAGACTTTTCCCCCGATAGTTGTTGCAGGAACGATGTGAACCCTTTTTAAAGATAGGGACAACTATCGACTCATTCCGTGATGTTGGGACACTCTTTAGTTCCCAGACCTTTGTAAACAACGTAGTCAGTTCCTTAACCGGAAAGTCACCAACAGCCTTAAAATGGACCGGAACTGAGTCATCTGGGTCTGGCTATTTGTAGCGCTCCAAGAGTTGTAGTTGATTGCGTACTTCCATCCCGTTGGGTGGATTAGTCGTCGCAGGTCATGGAGGATGGGACAGTCTTATCGACATTGCCGGGGCAGCAGACCAGTTGAACTACCCTTCGAAGAATTCTGCCCATCGCCCAAGACATTGATGGAGGTTAGCGACTGGCATGCCGTTATCCTCACAGATTGTTTCACTCACACCAGACTTCTTGCTGCCAGTGGCTTGGATGAGTTGGAAGAGCTTCCTGTAGTTACCAGACGCAGCTGCTGCTTCAAACTCACTATCACGCTCTGACCACCAGGCTTCTCGGTACTTCGCAAGCTTTGCTCGATTTCATTACGTAACAGCCTTCGTTTGTGGTCAAACTCACGGTCACCCGGGGTAGACCGACGGGCTTCGATGAGTTGTAAGGAACCAGAAGAAACCCAGTGCTTATAAGCGGGAGGTTTCACGAAGCCGCAATCGTTTTACTCACCTTTTTCATGACGTCATGCAATTGCAACCAATGCTCATCTATACTTTTCGGTGTTATTGTACCTAGCCTAGGAACTAGCTCGATTCGATACTTACTAGCAACAGAAGTTGCAGTCAGCTTGCTAACATCAATCCTTTGGTGGCGGCCACTTCGTTGGTCACTGAAAAGTAAGGTAAGATTGGCGTAAACCAATTCATTATTTGAGTCCTGATAGGTACTCCAAAAGGAGCGCGAGTCTTGTACACAACTACGCCAGCAGTAGCTGATTGCGATGTGGTCAATTTGAGTCCAGGCTTGAGATGCAGAGGGAGAACGCCAGGTGGCACATCGGCGATGACTGTACCGGGAGTTAGTGCTAGCCAGAAACAGGTTGTGGTCTGTGCACAGTTGCAGCAGACGGTCCCCGTGATCTGTCCTGCGACCAAAAAGTCCCCATCGGCCACCTAGACGACTCTTCTGTGCCTAGACGCCCGACGTGAGCATTCAAGTCTCCGGCTAGTACTACAATATCTGTCGAACGCACTTTCTAGAGAAGAACAGATAACTGGTGGTAGAATTCATCCTTGATTGCATCCGGGCTGCAATCTGTCAGGGCATAGGCGGAGATGACGAAAAGACATCGTTTCTCACACCGATTTCTTCTCACTTTGATGGAACTTTCTAATCTAACAGCACATAACCGATTGTTAATGGGGATCCAATCGATTAGTGCTGCCTCAGCTCTAGCACTTAGTGCGACACCAACGCCAGCAAGACCAGACGAAGATGCCACAGGGTCTCTGGATAAGCGCACGTGAAACAAGCTTTTCGAAGCGACAGATAGAGAGCAAATTTGTAGTACTTCACCAGAGTCTTGAATACGGGTCTCGGATAGACAGCAAACATCGATATTAAGACTTTATAAAGACAAAGTCAGCACTATCTGTTGTCCAACCTGCATAAGT